CTTTTCGTATGTTTTTATTGAATACTTATAATTATGTACAAGGGCAGAACTTCCACTTAACCCACTTCCAAATCAGTTTTTCTTTCTTTATAATTCTCAACCTACAATACATGAAATTCCTATATTTTTCAATCTATTCAATTAAAAAAATACAAAACAATTAAAGTACAAGGCTTAAAACACATAGTATAAGAGAAAATAAGAGAATGTAGAGAGAGAAGATGAAAGAGGTTATTTTAACTAATTAAACAACCCATCACTTCCAACCTACTGAAGAGGGAGTGATATTTTGGAAGTACCACCGGTAGCTCTATTGCTAATTAAGATTTGTATATATTTTTTTAAATTGAGTGGGTTGAAAAAGATATGGTTTTCGTATGTTTTTTTTTTTTTTTTTTTGGAAATGGAACTTCCCTAACGAAGGTTTTTGAGCCAGCTTTCGCGCACCGACTAATCCCCCGCTGCAAACATAAAGCTTTGCTTCATGCCCTGGAGTCACTGCAGACGAACCTCCATGTAAATGAACCGAACGAACACGAACGAAAGTTGTTTATGTTTATACGTTTAAGTTAGCCGAACAAACGAACGAACACGAACGGATAAACGAACGAGTTTTCTTATTTATGTTAATGAAAATGATAAATGAACATAAACGAATGAATATAAACAAACGGAGATAAACAAACATAATTAAGTATATATGGACATAAATATATAATATAGTAATACAATTAAAAAATAATTGGACATATATAAATATAAAAGGAACATAAATGAACGAACATAAACAAAAGCTCACAAACATAATTGAACAAACAAAACTATTATTCATGTTCGTTTATTTAACTAAACGAACAATAATTTGTGTTCATGCTTGTTCATTATTAAATAAACGAGTATAAACAGACTTTCTGCCGAACTGTTCACAAACACGAACAATTTGCTGCACTTACGGTTCGTTTACAACCTTAATTATGTAGGCCGTGTGTCTACACTCCTTATTTTGTCCTTAAATGTCTCCTTTCTTACCTCATTTTTAGATGCCTCCCTACCTTCCCTTGCAACAGATGAACATGAAGGAATATACAAAAGCTCTACAGTTTTAAAACATAATCACCAAATCAAATGTGATTCTTTTTGTTCTTGCTCCAATAATCGTTACCTCCAATCATATACCTCTTATTCATTACTAGCGTGCCAAAAGAAAACCTATAAAGTTACAACAAATAGTACGAAACAGGTGTCGATTGTGTATAGGATGTGACAAATTCAACTGTTATTGAATATGACATCAGTTCTTTTTTGTGTTCTTTTACTCATTTATGTTGGATACTTTCTGATATCAGGAAAGCGATATATGTAAGCATGAACAAAATGACTCTTGAATCTATATGGACTGTTGACTACTATGCATAAGGCAATGTATAGTTATGAAGGTGTAAAGGTGGTCTGTTAGGCCTTCTCAAGCTTGATAAATGGATTTGGCTCTATGTTTATGAGGTATTTTCATAGAGATATTTGAAGTTTTTAGTGGTGGAAGAATGTTGTCCGTATGTGGGGTATGAAATAACGGAAAGTGGTGCAACATGAAAATTTTTAGAATTATTTGGGTGTGCTCCACCATTATATAGTAATACACTAATAAAAAACAAAATAGAGGGTAAAAAAGTTATTCTACAAGAATTTAACAAAATAAGTAAACGACAGTTAAGTAGTTAAGTGTAGCTGCCATTATTTTTGACCAATGTTGCAAGTTGAGAACTTTTTGCACCAAGTCACATTTTTTTTCGAAAAACCATAATAGTTTTTAAATTTTAAGTGCGAATCCATACATGGCATATGAGCTATAGGTATTATATCCTTTGGTCTCTAATTATCCCAATCGGATCCTCAAAGTTGTGTTCTTTGAGTTTTGGTTGGATAACCATTCAAATTGCATCATTAGGTCTAGGGGTGTTCATGGTGGAGTCTGATTTAGAGTCGAAATTGTAAATCGCATGTATAATGCTCTTTAATAAAATTACAAAACGAACCACGTAAACCGCACTGTATAGTGTGGTATGTGCTATTTTTGCAACACAGACTCTACTTTTATATTTTATTATTTTATTTTATATTTTTATTATTAAATTATTTTAAAAAATCAAGTAAAAACTATTTTTACCAAACACTCGTATTGACTAGAATGGTTACCGTGATTGTCTTTTACTGAATTTTTTTCACGGCATTGATAAATAATTAGGTTTGCAAATAACTTTAACTTCCTAAATATGTTAACTAATGGATTTTCTCAAATATAAAAAATTATTTAAAAAGCAAGTTTGGATTTTTTAAAGGTAGATAAGAAATCCAAAGAATTTATAAAATGCAAGGCCTTTAGAACTCAAAGCCTACGATGATACACTGATACAATACTCAAAAGCAACATGATTATAAGAAGAAATGAAAAATTAGTAAATATGGATATTAATAAACTAAAAATAATTAAATATTTGATTTATATATTTCTAAATTAACATTCTTATTAACTGATTTAATAAAATTACCAATTTTTCATCCAAAATCACCAATTTTTTTTTTTCTGGATTTATCAATTCCAAGCAAAATCGTTCTTTAAATTTATCAATCTTAACACCATCTAGTTTTCATCGACCATCAAATATCAATTTTCAATCAGGGATCATTATTTCAAAAAGGTTTTGAAATCATGAAAGCAATATAATAGTTGAAAATTTTACCTACCACAAAACAATAGATCCAATTAGAACACAGTAAATCAATTACAAACACTCGTAAGGGTTCAAATTAATACCATAATTTGTCGGTGTCCTTTGGTGTCGATGAACATTTACTACATGTAGATTACCTCTATGGATATCCACACAAATTAGAAACAACAACAACAAATTGATCAAACTCTTCTTTCTATTGGCTTCAAAAACCATCAACCAAAACCAGGGAGAGGAAAATGGTGTTGCAAAAACATGGTTCTTGGTAGGAGGCTATTAAGGTTAAAAATTTCTCAATTATGACTTAAATATAAAAGGAGTTGGGTGAGCTTTTTCAAGCCTTAGCTAAATAATTTAATTAGTTCAAACCCATAACTTAAAATTTTAGTTAATTTAAATGGATTTAATAATATCTATTTTATTTAATTATAATAAATAAACTCATCTATCTATTCTCCTTTTAACTATTAAATAACTAGTTTATAACCAGTGGAAATCACGGTTAATATATAAATTAAATTTTCATAGTAAAAATTCAAAAATTATTTATCAGTTACTTTAAATAAATCATTAATTATGAGAGATACCAAAATTTTAAAGTTATTATAACTTCAAAATTAAAATATAATTATAAAAAATAAATTTGAATTTTGAAGTGTTGCCTAATATATCTTTTTGACATGTAGCATAATATTAATGAAGAGTTGTGTTAGAGTGACACATGTCAAATGAAGATTGAAACTATTTATTTATTAGAATAGGGATAATTAATTATCCATATATTTCCCTATGATAAGTAAATAATAAATTTATATACTATATATATTATTCTTTTTTAATTTACAATGTTCTTTAGTGTGTGATCATAAGTTCAGATACAATTACTACTACCAATCATTCTCTATTCTTTACACATTATTTCAATTAGACTCTCAGTTATGCGAAGATATAACAATTCTAAGCATCTAACATCATGAACTGCGTATAACCACGTGCTAATATTTGTCTCCATGCTTCCATAAACTTCTTAATAGTAAACGAGTTGTTATCATATATCTCTTCGTTATGATATCGTTGAACATGAGCTATGATTCAAATTAGTCTCGTATAGGTTTAATAATGATTTTTTGATCTGTGAACTGTGAATGAATAAGATCAACAAACTCATCTACGCATAACCATACCCTCATATCCATTTAGTTCATGGTTACAAAATAAAACACTCAAAGGACCAAATCTCATATCTGATTATGTGTTCCTTGCCAAGTTTCATGATATATATATATATATATATATATATATATATATATATATATATATATATATATATATATATATATATATATATATATATATATATATATATATATATATATATAGTAGGTATGAGACCAGTGTACTACACGTGTTTATTAAAAATAAAAAATTTAATATCAATATTTAAACTTTAAATTTAAAATCAATATTTAATATCAATGTCAATTTTAGAGCTCTCATTAATTATAACATTTATTAGATTATAAATATATCAATTCTTTTTCAAGCACTACTAGAAACATGGGTTTTAGCGACGGATAAATCCGTTGCTATTCCGTCACTAAAGATCTTTTGCGACGGATCTGTGACAGACTTACTCCATAGCCAAATTAAATGTGGCTAATAACTTAGCAAGAGATTTAGCGACAGATTTAATTTTCCTTTGTGACGACTTTAGCAACGGAATATCCATTGCAAATTGCTCCCTTAATACCGTCATTTTAGGACATCAGCGACAAAACTAAATAAATATTCTGTCGCTAATCCCTTGCAAACCTCTATATCTATATTTTTATATTCCGTCGCTAATCCCTTGCAAACCTCTATATCTGTCTTTTTATATTCCGTCGCTGATCCCTAGCAAAATTTGAATGTGATATTTTTGTTGTTTCCGTCGCTGATCACTCGCAAATATATAATATTAATTTTTTTTTATTACAAATCTAAAACAAAAAAATACTAAAAACATGAAATAATTATACAATCCCAAACTAAACAATAATAGAATACTAAAAAATATAAAATAATTATACAATCCAAAACCAAACACAAATATAAAAATACCATAATAACTATGAAATTTTAACAAAACATCCAAAAACATCAAATATCAATGTTTTACTAAAACCATCAAAATCATCAGATATCAAAGTTTAGTAATGTACCAAAATCTTATTTCCAAGTATGTGTACCCAAATCTCAATTCCATCTCATATTTTCAAATAAATTCAATCTCTATAGGCCTGTCCAAAACAATATTATAATTAAATCTCAATTAAGTAATAATTAATAAACTGAATAAAAGAATCTAGGATGCTATAATGCAAAATTAAATGAAAGTATTAGGACCATTTTTTAAAAGAATTAAATTTATCAAATAAAAGATATTTTAAGAATTAAAGTAAACCGAAATAAATTACAAACCTGACTGTAGATCCCATTGGGTCTTTTTCTTCTTCTTCATAGGCCTCACATTCTTTCCAACTGTTTGAGAAAAATCAATAAAAACCAAAACTAATTTTTTAATTAGGAATAAAATCACAAAACTAACCTTCATGGTCTCTGGTGCCATTGGCCCTTTTGTGATCGCATGTAACCAACCTTTTTAATACAGTTGTAGGTACCACCTAAGAACTCTGGAATTCAAATGCTGAAAAATATGAGAATGGATAAAAAATAAAATATATTATCAACAAGATAAAAGTATTATCAGATTTCCTATCATTCTACCCAAAAAAATATTATCAACAAGATAAAAGTGGTAAAAAAATAAAATATATATTGAATGAGAATGGACATAACAGACATACTTATGCAATTCAGAATAATATGCAATTTTGTTAGCCTTGTTGCACTCTTCGTGAGGGAGAATGGCATCAGGAGGACAATCTCCTAAGCAAATCGAAGAGCACCTGAACATGAATTTAGTCATGTAAGAATAAACAAGGGTATAATTGTCTTTTGCAAAGTATTAGTTAGAATGACTCAGGAGGGGCTACAAAGACATCGCCAAGGGCATTTTGGGAATGTGGAAGAAGTTCAAGAAATGGAGTCAACTTCCTTCGGGCTATCTCAATCAGCTCCTTTTTGGGAACGACTTATTCTTTCTTCCCATCCCATTCGAGAGAGTATTTGATTTTATATTTAAATCATGAAATATTTAAAGTTTATATCATGAAATATTATTTTAAAAAAACTTAAAACGTACCCGACATCAATCATTTTGAGGAGTTGGTTTTGGTATGTGCTGCCCAAAACCTACATGTAAATAAAGTCATTGACGAGTCAACTCGAATTTTTTATAAAAATGAAGTTCTATTTTATAAAAAATGGAAAGAACTTACATGAACCTTAGCAGTAGTCTTTGGATTAAAGAAGAATTTGATTGTGTTCTACAAAAGCCTAAACCCAGACCATAGAATGAAAAAATGGAAGTGCCAATGCCATGCCATTAACCTGATGTCAAACTACAAGTTAAAAGCTATCACTATCCTAAACTCTAATACTTTATAAACACACACTTATCTAAACCCATCACTTAAATGTCCAAAATACCCTTTCCTCATGAAAATAAAACCAGTTACCTATAAGGCTCCCATCACATCGATGGTCCAACAATGTCCCAATTTGTCAAGACATGACACAATATATTGTACAAATGACGTAAATACCCTCCTCATTGAAGAAGCCCGTTTAAGTCTTTTTGTATGAAAAGATGTACCTTGTATTGACATTAGGAGAAGTTGAACACTTTGCCAATAACGACACACTCCCTTTACCATCCATTGCATCAAGATCCATTATTGTTGCAACCAATAACTCCAGTTGCAAAAGATTGAATTAGCCTCCTACTTTCATTTAAAAAAAATTGAAATTTATATTTTGGTTTTCTTTTTTCTGTTGACCTCTTCAGGGTCAGTATAGTCAATTCCATCAGCCTTGGAAAGTGCAGATGCCATATCCCGATAAGCCTCCTGATCACATTTTATAGATTTGCAATGAAATCTAAAATGTTGAAGAAAAAATGTGATTTATAACAGTAATGGGATCAGTTGACACCTCACCAGGGAAAAAGTCTAGAACTTTCACATACGCCTAGAATACTAATGTTGTTCATACCTATGACAACCAAAAAGTTTCATGGATTCTGGTTCACCTACATTGATTAGAGCAAATGAGAAGTTGGTTGTGTGTTTTGAACGCTAAGCAATTTGTACCTTTTCATGAGATAATCCTAAAAAATAATTGATCCATCATGTAGCATCTTTTGGATTTCTTGCTCCTAACAATTAATTACAATGCAGATTAAAAGAAAGTAAGTTTACTTTCATTAGGAGAAAGGAATATGTACCTTCATAAGATAGCCATCAATAGAACCAACCACCAACATACATTGGTCTTACCCTACTCTGAAATTGAAAATAATGTATTTTAGTAATTACAAAAATGCCACCAAAAATGAGATTTAAAGCAGAAAATTTCAATGTAGAGTAGTTGGTTATGAGTCAATCTAAAGCTTCTTCTATACAAACAAAAAAAATCTCACGAATTTCTCAAAACCAAGGAAGGAAAGTGTGAAAATAAAGAAAAATGGAGCATGTAAAAGCTTAGGGTTGGTAATAATTTTCAATTTGTCATCCTGTGTACCCTAATTTTCTGAAGATGTAGTTTTAATCTTTGTCTGTAGTAAGTTGATTTACCTGCAATCTAATGCAAAGAACCAGAGTAAATCAAAGGAAATTTGCAGAAGTCCATGTCGGATTCAACAATCCATAAATCTAAAATTAAACTCAACACAATGACCAAACTTAATTCAAAACTTGAATTTTTCTAAAATTTACTGGTGATTTGAGAAATTGGCTAGGATTAGGATCAAGGTTTGATTTAGGATTAGTAATAGAGAAAACAAAAACCTGGAGAAGTGCGTATGGAATTGATTGTTTGAAATTCATAGAAACCCAACATCGGGGATTGATGCTTGTATCGTTTTTGGAACCTTCAAACATTTTGGACGTGTCGATTTCAGTTGTTTGCTGCTACCCACCGTTCTTGCTTTCGTTGTGCGTTTTCGATTTCTTGCTTTCATTGTGCGTTTTCATTAGTAATTTTTGTAATTACTAAAAGTTTTCAAAGTGTTCTAGATCACCAACAGAACCGCCACCGCTACGCTATTAGGTGATCGACGCCGCTGTTGCTGCTGAGTAGTTGTACGATCTAAATCAACAATATATGATGAACCAATAGATCGAAAGGCGTTATCTGGGAATTAAGTGGCGAGTCAACAAGGAAAGGAGACAGACCGAAAGGAAAGCCAACGAGCATGTGCTTTATGATTAGGTTTTCCTTTCAAAGGCTTCAAAGACGAGCGATGCAGGTTGACTATGGTGGAGGTGATTTCCTGGGCGGAGGAGAGACTTGACGGTCATTTAGGGCTTTGGGAGGAAATTGTTCCTTTGTGAAGAATTTAGAAGGAATGAGAATAAAACGAGGGAACAAGAAAAGAAAGAAAAACGGGGAATGAAAAAAGGAGGCGTAGATTTCTGCGATGGTTTGGCGAGGGTCAATAAAAAAAGGCCTGTAATTTTTGCAATCTGTTGTTGTTCCCTCGCTAGGAGGTTTTACTTACCGATGATTTAGCGAGGGATAATTTTTTGTCGATAAAATCCTGATAATCCATCGTTAATCCCTCAGTAATACCTTCCTAAAATACTATAATTATTTTGATCGAAATATTTGTGGGTTCTATCGCTGATCCCTCAGTAAACTGTCACTGATTAGCTACAGATAGAATCCATCGCAAATTCCGTCGCTGTAGGTCAGGTTTCTAGTAGTGAAGGAAGCATTTTTTTCTCTCAATATTATAACCGAAATAAGTTGTGATATGTGAACAAATCAGAAAATTATATGTGGAAATAAGTAAATTTTAAAAATCTATTAAAATGCCATGTGTCCAAATCAATGAGCACATGACATGTGGCAGAAAATAGGTTATATATATATATATATATATATATATATATATATATATATATATATATATATATATATATAGGGTTAGGTTCATGTGAGACAACCTAATTTTGTAAGACCGTGAGACGTATTTTTTTATTTTATTTTATTTTATTTTTTATTTATTTATTTAAGTTAATTCAAGTTCCGAAAATAATATTTAAAAAAAGAATTTTTGGATTTTTCCATTTATTTTGCATTTTAAAATTATTTTTTAAAATATGTACAGTGTAAAATTATATTAGAATATTTCACATATTTTTCAAAAAAAAAAACGGGATTTTTATTTTTTATTTTTTTAGTTAATTCAAGTTCCAAAATAATATCTAAAAAAAGAATTTTTAGATTTTTCCATTTATTTTGTATTTTAAAATTATTTTTAGAATATGTTAGTGTAATATTCTATTAGAATATTTCACGTATTTAAAAAAAAACAAGATTTTTTTAAAATTTTTTTTAGTTAATTCAAGTTCCGAAAATAATATTTAAAAAAAGAATTTTTGGATTTTTCCATTTATTTTGCATTTTAAAATTATTTTTAGATTTGGTCTCACGGTCTTACAAAATTAGAATGGTTTCAAATGAATCTGAGCATATATATATATATATATATATATATATATATATATATATATATATATATATATATATATATATATGAGAACGTTCAATCGAGAACATTTCTTATTACGAAAACATTTGAGACCAATTTTGGACCACATACTTTTTTTAAGTTAAAATTATCAAATAATATTAATATAAATAAAAAATAAGTAAAAAAAACTGATTAACCAACATCACTCACCATCCAAACACCACCACCCACCACCACCACTCACAACCACCACCCGTCACCGCCTGAAATGTCCCAAAAATATGATAAAAATTTTTCAATTTTAATTTAAATAAAACGACATTTTGAAAACATTATCCATACAATCCAAATGAAGATAAGTGTATCAAACATCATAACAATCAGAGTGATATCTCAAAAGCGGAATCCATGTGGTGTGTGCGATGCAGTCAACACGAACTCTTCCCCATGGAACCAGAAGTATCTGAAACATAAACTGAAAACCGTAAGCACAAAGCTTAGTGAGTTCCCCAAACTATCCCATATCATTCATAATAAATCACATACTAGGCCCCCGCTCTCCATCGGACCCCGCCCGACATTGAACCTCGCCCAACATCGAACCCCGCTCGGTATATAAATCTAGTATTCTTAGGACCCGCTTGAGATTGGGTCCCGCCCACTATACACATACAATACATATCACATAATCATGCTAACACATACAATGATCATAAACAATAACATACGATTCAATCAACGGGCCCCGCCCGACATCAAGCCCCGCCCGATATACATAACAACACATAACACATGCAAGGGTCACACATACTCCTAGCAGCCTAACATAAACAACAAGGGCTGAGATTAGTGCGTTAGACACGCTCAACCCAGTGAAGAAACTCACATCGACTGCTGAATCTCATTGGAAATCCCTGGCTGCTTGTCCAACGGATCCCCGAGCTAATCAATACTAAAACAAAACCCAGTTAACATTTGGGTTCCAATCCATAACCATAAATCCACACTTGGGTAAAAAGAACATTTTACCCATGACCTAGTTTGGTCCAAGACTAAGGCCCAAACTTACAATCTAAAAGGCCCAAACTCACAATCTAAAAGTCCCAAAAGCCAATTAATCAACCAATGCCTAATTATGGCATAATTTTCCAAATTAGGCCCAAACCCCTTACATGGGCCTTACCCTAAAGCTCAACCAACTTTCCTAGTCCAAAACACTTGCACTCAGATGGCCCATTAAGAACTCAAACACCCAAGCCCAAAAGAAAGCCCAAACTTGAAGCCTAATATGCAAAATCCCATATGACTGAGTACGCGGGGCGTACTTAGCTGTACGCTAAGCGTACATGCTATTTGGCTTGTATGCTGCGTGTATAGACTTGTATGTCCAACGTACTCATCTATTAAGCCAAACTCTTCATTAAGCTCTTAATGCTTAAGTCTAGTAGTCCAAACCATAGATATGAGTCCTAATAAGTATCTAGAACTATAAAGTCACTGACTTGGTGACTTTGCATGCCCCAAAAGAACCCAACTTCAAGATGTAGCATTATACTTTCACTAAATGGACAAAATCTCATGCATGGGGGATTCTAAACCCTAAAGGCGACAACTTTATGAATCTAGACCCTCAGAAACACTAAGAGTGGCAACTCATAGCTCCTGGAGTGGTATCAAACCACTAGATCTTATTCCTAGGGCCAAAAAGGAACCAGAACTTATATATAATAGATCTAAGCCATTAATGAAAGAGTTCATAGCTTTTCACCTCCAACAACCTAGAAATGAAGCAAATTATTAAGATCCATAATCTCTTCCTTGATCCATCACCTTGCACCAAGCTTCTACTTCTTGAATATGGACTAAACCATACCAAAATGGATACAACGAGCTCAAAACACAAAGGAGAGGCTTAGGGTTTCAAATCTGAGGCTAAAAGGTCAGAGTAGACTGATAAATGAGGGTTTCATAAGTCATAAAGGTGATTATATAGTGTCTAACTTCGGAAATTAGGGTTTTAATAATCCATACGTATGCCTGCCGTACAAGCCTGTATGCCCCACGTACGTCTTCAGAACCCCGTCCAAGCCTCGCATGAGTACGCTAAGTGTACCATGTGGTACGCGCCGCGTACTTGCTTTGCAGCTTGTACACGAAGCGTACCATATGGTACGCCCCGTGTACAACATAAGGACCAATGTAACACCCCTGTTTCAGATCGTTTCCATTTCGGGGTGGTGATCAAGGATAATGTATTAGTAGGCTTGGGATCCTTGAAGAAGTTAGTTTTGAGACTCATTTGGAGGGTGGATGATGTATAATGGATGATTCGAGTATTCGGTTTGTATTTTGGAGTTAAAGGGTATTTTGGTAATTTTTCAGCTCGGGCTTCTATGGAAAGGGATGTTCGTTTAGGATATGATAAGGTGGGTATGAGTTGATTGAAGGTAGAGGTTCTAGTTACCTTTTTATGGTTATTAGGATCATCAGAATCGAGTTTATAATGGAGTTATGATCTTCAGAGTATTTAGGGTTAAGGTATGCTTAGCGTACAAGTAGTGAAGCGAGTACGTGGGGCGTACCAAGTGGTACGCTTAACATACTCATGTGAGGGTGTTGATTGGGGATTCGGAGGTGTACGTTGGGCGTACATAAGTTTACGCGGGGCGTACGGTTTGATCTTGAAAACCCTAATTTTTGGGGTTGGCCACTATTTAAGCATCCTTATGGACTTGAAACCCTCATTTTGTCATCCTCTTTTCCCTTCCTTACCCTACACTCGAACCCTAATTCCATACTTGTATGTTTTGATCTTAGAAGGTTATTTTAAGGTGGATTTTGATGCTTTGAAGGAAGGTGGTCATCCTTGAAGATTCATTAGAGGAGTGAACGCTTATAGATCCAGGACCCCATCATCATTTGGCACTCACTTGAGGTATAAAGTCTTGATCTTGGTGCTTCTTAGCTTATATCTCTTTTGGTTTGGGTTTATGAACCCTTTTGGTCCTATTGATGAGATCTTATGAGTTCATATAATTTCTGAAGCTTAGAGTTGCCACTCTTGGTGTTATTTTGGTCATTGAGTCATAAAATTGTCATTTTCAGGTCAAGATCCATACATGCCCGAGTTAGGGTCATTTTCATGAAAGTAGAAGGTTATATTTTGAGTTTGGGTTCTTTTAGGGCATGCAAAGTCACCAAGTCAGTGACTTTATGAGTCTAGATATTGTTTAGGACTCAGATCTGTGGTTTGGACCTTTGAGCTAGATATTAAGTGCTTAATGGCAAAAGTGGGATTAAGATAAGAGTACGCTAGGCATACAAGCTGTACGTGCAACGTACAAGCCATCAAGTGAGTACGCACAAAATATAGCTGAGTACGCCCTGCGTACTCAATCAGAATGGACTTCACATTTATAGGCCTCAGGTTGGGCCATTTCTTGGACCTAGTTGCCGTGGGCCTTCGTGGGCTATCTAAAAGCATGATTTTGGACTAAGGAAATTATTGGGCTTTAGGATAAGGCCTATTATAGAGGTTTGGGTCTAATTTGGAAAATTGGGCCATAATTGGGCTTTAGATGATTATTGGTTAATGGGCCATCGGAATGCAAAGTGTATTGGATTAGAAAGAATGGTTGGACCTTAAGGTAAGGCCCATGTAAGGGGTTTGGGCCCAATTTGGAAAATTGGGCCATTGGTTGATTAATTGGCCTTTGGGCCTTTCAGATTGTAGTTTGGGCCATAGATATGGACAAGGCTAGGTTAGGGGTAAAATGGTCTTTTTACCCCATGTATGGAGTTATGGTTATGGTTTTGAAACCTAATTTTTAATTGTGTATTGTTTTGTTATTTGTAGTTTGAGGATCCGTCAGCCAGTAGCCAAAGGTTTTCAGAATGATTCAGGAGTGCAATGTGAGT